ATGTTGACGATTCGATGTTTTTAGCATTCGACGTTTTGAACATTCGACGAATTGAGAATTCGATGTTTTTAACATTCGACGAATTGATAAAATTCGACGTTTTGAACATTCGTCATATTGACGATTCGATATTTTTAACATTCGACGAATTGATAATTCGACGTTTTGAACATTCGACGTATTGACAATTCGATGTTTTAAGCATTCGACTAAATGCCGATTCGATGTTTTTAGCATTCGACGTTTTGTCCATTCGATTACTTGGCATTCGACTATTTGATCATTCGACGACTTGGCGATTAAGGCCAACGCAGAATAGATCTGCAACCGGAACCGCAATCGTGACCGTAAGCGTAAGAATGAGTTAGAGAAGGATAAACAATATACCTATCCTTCTTTAACTTATTCTTACGGTTACGCTTACGATTGCGGTTCCGGTTACAGATCTATTCTGCGTTGGCCTTTAGGGGATATGCATGCGTCTCCATTCGACGACTTGGCGATTAAGGCCTTTCTCCAATAGGTTTTAAAAAGTGTGCGAATGACTGCGTCTGCGTCGGTTGCTATAGCAACACATGCTAAAATCAACGCAACGCAGTGTAACGAGCGACGTTTATCTCGCTCTACTGATAATCGATAAATCGAATCTCGATATATCGATGAGATTTCTTTTAATTAATTTAAATATAAATTAATAATTTTAAGTAAAATGTTAATTCTAAATCGTGAGAGATGGCACAGCTTTTTAGATTTCGAATTATAAAACGAATCGTCTTTCAATTTATTAAATAGAATAAATATTGGAAAATATATACACAATAACCTTTTTATCTGCTCCGAGAATTAACTCGTAAAATAAGCTATTATATTTCCCTAAAGTCTTCTTGGTATTTCCACTTAGGAATACTTCATATAAACAAAATCTAAATAAGTATCGAATATCTTTTCCTTTGACAAAGAAGTTTTGAAATACGCATTAATTCGGCAAAATGCGTTTCATTCCTTTATTCATAACTAATGTTAATAATTTGTTAATAATATGTGTAATCATATTCATAAATATTAATTAATGTTTAAACTATTAAGTCTAAATAAACTATAAAACTTATTAGTGTATAAAATACAATAATTCACTGTAAAAAAATCTGCTGTAAATTTACTATGTCCGACGTTGGAAAGTTTGGTCACTATGTCCGACGTGGTATTTTTACACGCCGACTGTAATCTACATAACCTGCAAATATTTTTTGAAATAATATTTTCAGTCGTAACTTTTTGTATTTATGAAATATAGCCCAAAACTTTTTGTTATATTATTATTTACTTATAAATTAGCATATACTTTCTATAAATGTACATTATATACACTTTTTTAGAGTTATTTATAAAAACTTGAAAATTTTTTGAAAATCTTAAAGGAATAAGAAAATTACATTCGCCATGTAATTGTACAGATCGTGCGACGTAATATTACGTCAAAGTGTAGAAATACACGCAATGTAAAAATACCACGTCGGACATAGTGATCAAATTTTCCTACGTCGGACGTAGTAAATTTACAGAAAACTATTAAATTACATAGTCGTATAATGTAAAATTATTAAAAATAGTAAAACTACTTTTGGAACGAAATAAATTTACTACGTACAACCTATAATTTTGATGTGTGAAATTACAAGTTTCGTGTTATTTTACACCAGATTTTTTTACAGTGAATTGTTATTAATTAATGAAATAGAATAAGACAGTATGTAATATATTTGATTTGTAATGTCTGATAAATGTATGACTTTCAGAAACAATGAGTATAACTGTATTCCTACCAAAAAAAAGCATGAAGGCATGGGCAAGATCGAATATCGAAAATATCGAAGAGAACTCGCAGCGCGATTAGGAAAAAAGCATTGGAGAAAGGCATACTCATAAGCAAAGTGCATGTTGCAGATGGAGCTGCGGTTGTCCAATTGTTGGCGCTAACTTTTAAAATGTTGATAGCCTTTTTTGAAATTGATAAATAATAAATATTTATTTTTATTCATTTTTTAATTAAAAGTAATTAAGAAAATTAAATAAACAAAAAACTTTTTTTAATATTATTAATAACAATGAACATACATTCTAATTCAGCATCAGATAATTAAAACTAGACAAATGGTATATATTTATCAATTTATGTTTATTAAAAAAGAAATTAGAATAAATAAATTGAAATCAATATTATTGAAAATAATAAGTAATTATTAATAATAGTAACAAAGAATATAATTATAATAGGGCAGGAGTTTAAATCTTATATTTAAATGTAATGAAATTAAAGTTATTAGAATTAATTCCAAATTAGGCAGCAAACTAAATTTAGAAATGGCGTAGAACAGTTAAAGATAATTCCCTATTTAATGCTTAGCGTTCGCCAGTTTCATATGCCTTACGCTTATATGTTTGTGTAAGTTTAATTGTATATGGAATTCACAAAGAAAAAAGAAAAATTGTAATTAATTAAAAATTAGGCAGGGAACTGAATTGAGAAATGGCAGAGAACGGCAAAGGAGACGGCCGCTTGCGGCCGTCGACTGCGCTAGTGAGTGTAAAATGTACAGTTGATGAGAAGAGAAGTGTATAGAAATGTACAGTGAATTGGTGATGAACGTACGTCACTCAGGACTTGCGCAGTGAACAATATTATGTACTTAGAGCGGAGTCGCAGATCTCCTCTCGTTGCTCTTTAGTATTAAGACTAATCTCGAACCGAAAGGTTGCATTTTGTAAAGTTGACTTTTATAATAAACTAAAAGGGTTTCCTCACGAAGCAAGTAGAACTAATAATTGATTAATATAAATATTAATCATTAATTGGTTCCTCCTATTCGTAAGAGTTTTTCCCTCCGTTTTAACGGAATTACTTCTGTATTTATTTGAAATTTCCCGGTCCCTTTTCAGGGATATTACTAAGAATGAATCCGCGAATCAAATACGAGTGAATTTGCACAGTACCCATAGTACCGCTCGTAACAGCAGTCATTCGCACACTTTTTAAAACCTATTGGAGAAAGGCCTTTACGACATTAGCAGAAACAGGTTTCCTCTCTTTGCCTCGTGGCGCGTAGGCGCTTCCGTAGGCAACTGACCGGTACGACCGACGACGTCGAAAACACCCTGCATTCACAGCAAAGTCTTCTTGATTCACAGTTTCATTTATAAAAATTTATTGATTGAGGGAGCATTTACACCTTCGGTAAAAATTTCCAGAACGGGAAATTCTTACCGAAGGTGTAAACGCTCCTTGAAGGACAAATAAATATTTTAAAACTAACAGACTACGCAAACGTGAAATTGATTTTAGGGAAAAGAATTAATGAGTTTCTTAAAAAATTTGTATGAATTATTAAATAATCGCTCAGAATAGTTTGACAAGTAACCTCAATACGTCATAAGGGAAAAGTTATTTCCCCCTTACCGACAGTAGATTTTCTTCTGTCGGTAAGGTAGGTAGCCAAAGAAGGAACAATCGCATTGTGTTTTGGCTACATACCGAATGATAAACTATCAATTTGTCCCGACGAAAAAAAGACTACATAATTGCATGGTAAAAATGGTTAACGACTTAAAATTTTGTTACTTAATGTGGCATTCCAGGAGAAATTTACTACTTTTCGGAGTACCCTCACCGATTTCTTTCAAACTTGGTAGTATTACATTTGTTGGTCTAAAGTTTCAGAAAATCAATTTTTTAAGTAAAATCAATTATTTATTTAAAAGTTACAACAATTGCTCAAAATTGTTTAAATGCCCATATCTTTTAAACGGTTCAAGATAATTGAGTTTACTTTTTTGCTAAAAATTCATAAAGACGAGACGCTTCAAAAATGTTCTTAACATTTTTTTCTTATTTTGTTAATTAAAAAAGTTATTTAAATAAATAATATAAACTTTTGATCAGGAATTCAAAATTAAATGACTTACGAACCAAAAAATTCCTTGTTTTTCACACTTTTATATTCCGAAGAAAAAAAGTTGCTAGAATTTTTCAATAACTTATAATTTAAACAATGATTATCTTGAACCGTTTAGAAGATATGGGCATTTAAACAATTTTGAGCAATTGTTGTAACTTTTAAATAAACAATTGATTTTACTTAAAAAATTGATTTTCTGAAACTTTAGACCAACAAATGTAATACTACCAAGTTTGAAAGAAATCGGTGAGGGTACTCCGAAAAGTAGTAAATTTCTCCTGGAATGCCACTAATAGAATAAGTGTTTTAACGAAAAAAATATAATTTTAACATAACCAAAGAAATATTTTAAATCATAACTCCGTTTCATATTTTCATTGATGTTTAGATGTTCTTCCTAATAGGTAAATTTAATTTAAGTTACAAATTAACTTTCATTTTTAATCTAATTATTCATTTATTAGTAGTTTTTTATTTGAATAACGAATAAAAAACTTGAATTTACTTTTTGAAAAATTACACTTTGATATAGGTACATATAGTTAGCCTGATTCTCAGAATTTAAAAAACATTAGACTATTTGTTTATCAGTATCGAAAAGTTAGCCTTTTTTTATATCCTAGATCTAACTTACCGACTGATTTTAATTATAAATTATAATGTAGTTATTGGAAATAGAAATAAGTGATCAAAAATATTTGTACATCTTGCTTTTCATATTTATTGAAAATTTCTTTATTTTCTCTTTGAATAAATAATAATATAAAGGATTATTAATACTTTATATTCTAAAAACTACCAATAAATTGAAAAGGTAATTATTTTACATTCTAAATTTTAATAATTGACAAATGAACATCACTTTTGCAATATTTCATTAATTGAAATATTTATATGCTTTTCTACAATATTTATCTTACAATTAATTATATTACTTTCTATAAAAATTAAATTGCATCTGAACAAAATTATGAATTTTTGCATAATTATGAAATTTAATTTGACTTATTGTTTTCTTACAATGTATTTTATAGAAATCTACTCATCTATAATCACTCTTTTTATTATAATAATACTTTTTGAAGAAACCTCTTTGGAATATGAAAAATATTAATTTTAGACTTACAATTATGCTATAGTTTTGCACTGTTTTAACAAATATATTACAAAAATATAATCTAGAAAATGGTTTAGAAAACGTATAAATATTATAGATTTAGAAAAATGTACGATTTTCTGAGGTAGGTAGTTTTCTACTTTCGTACTGCTTTACTTGGACATATTCTCAAATCAAAAGTATCAGTAAATTGGAGAATCGCACCAAGTGCTTTTGATTGTAACTACATAAAGGCAGTGTAGTGTATCTTTTATATGACCCTGAGACATTTATACAATTTCATTCTAATTCACAACCACAAGTATTTGGCTCGAAATATTTCGTAAAAGCAACCTAGCAAGTATATATATATGGACAGTCTAACAAATTTTCTTTATCAATATTATTCGTTGAGAATATCGGAGAAACTTCGTTGCTTCGCTTTTAATAAAATAATTTCAATAGATAAAAAAGTGTCGCTAATTTTGATTAAATTGTCACTTGCTTAATGTTTTGACTTAGCAATGTGAAGAAAGAATGACACCTTATCGGTACACTGATGCCCACACATGTTACAAGTAAATGGATTTTTGTATCCATGATAACCCATGTGAACAGTGTACATGACATCATTTCCAAAAGAAATTTCACAGTATTGACATGCATACTGATCTACAGTTTCAGATTTATCTTCAGAATCCAAACTATTCCTTTCCGAATAACATTTATTGGGAATAGTTAATGCCAGCTTGTTGAAATATTTTTCGTAGTCCTGTGAACAGAAAATAATATGTATGTTACAAAAAAGTAAATATTAAATTAAATTTTATTATTTCTCGTCAATTTCCAAGCTTTTTGATCTTATGCTTATGCCCATGCTAAAACAAATCGAAATATCAACAATGAAAGACATTAAAAATGGTTCAAACAATTTTTTACATGTTCCTTTACTAATTTTTCACGTAGAATCGAATAGAGGCGTTAGTTTTTAAAAATTCTCCAATTTTTTCATTTGTTTAAACAATTTTTAACGTCAAAAGTAATTATCAATGACTTTGCTGACGAGTTTAATAAACGAACTTTAAATTGACATACTAAAGAAAAGCTAAATCTGTAAGGATTATGAATGTGCTTCGGGAAGAAACACCTGAATGTAATTTAGATTTTATTATTTATTAGAATGATAATAAAATTTGCTCACCTGCTCATCATCAGAATCCTTTTCCAATATATGTTTATCTAATTTTACGGCCTTCCCCTTACGCCTACTAGTGCCTGTTTTCTTCAAATTATTGACATTGTTCTTTTGCACAGAATGTTCTTCTTGATTAGAAATTTCATACTTTTTATCAATGTTACAACTTTCAGAAACTGATTCACATTTTTCAAGTATAGGAAGCATGTTATCTTTTTTCTCGGGACTTGAATCATCATTTAAAGTAATAGATCCAGTGGATCCAGTCGATCCAGTGGAAATGCTGTCCAGCAGTGAATCTTCGAGAATTTTCTCATTATTGATAGATCTAGTATATTCAAAGTAAGCTTGTAGTTTTAATGCGTTCTCTGCAATATTCTCACTAAAAATAGAATTCTGCATAGGATATCCAGCACTAAGTAACTGATTATAAGATGACAATGCATTCAGTACATTAGTATGATTCGGCACAAGATTGTTCATTCCATTTGGACCGCTGTTTAAAACGGACATATTCATTGGACTTCCCATATTTATTGGCGACATTGACGTCGGCATCATCACTTGCGAACTCACAATGGGTGGTGAAATCGAACTCAATATGTTATTGTTTAATTGATTCTGAAATAGAAATTATATGTTAGCAAATTCAAAAAATTAATTTTCTAATTCTAGACTAGATAAAAATAATATTAAATGATAAATACAAATTAAACAAGTTTTTTACCTGCACGTTGTACTGATTCTCTTCTTTTATCTTGACCGGCTTAGGCTTCGGACCTCTTCGGGTTCCATAAACGTCAATAATAGGCAGCGGGTTCGGAGATCCATCGGCATTTAAAACCATTGCAGGCTGATGATTATATTTTCTTAAATGTAGCTTTAACGAATGACAATATTTGGTAGCGTAGGAGCAATTTGCACATCTGTATTGGTAGACATTGGAATGTGATTTAAGATGACTACTGAGCATCGACTTGTTGACGCATGAGTAAGGACACTTATTGCATTTGAAAGGCTTCGATCCAAAGTGATTTCGAAGATGATATTCAAGGTGATGTTTATACTCTGTGACGAATGGACATTTAGGGCAAGTTAATAATTTGTCAATCTTGATATGTCCACGATTATGCTGCCAAAAATCCAATTTTGTGATGGATACATAGTTACACTGTCTGCATTTGTGAGTCTTCACCTTGCCCTGCAAACAAATTTTAATTTCAATTAATTAAATCCCTTTATATATAAAAATTATCTTCGCAAACTTTTCATTCAATAATTGAAAAAATGGCATGCAACAAAAAATGTCGGATAAGATGAATTACTTTAACCATTTAATACATAGGTAAAATATAATTTGAGGTCAGATTAATTAAATTCGAAATAACAGATCCAATATCACAAACTATTTTTGAAAAGGAAACCAGGGGTGCGTTCACTTGCACGAGTAAGAGTGTGTCTGTAATTATACGTGATATACACGCATAGAAAGGGTTTGCTGTGGCAGCGAACATTTTGCTGCCACAGCAAACCTTGTTCGTTGAAATAGGGACAGCGAAAAAGTTCGCTGTGAGATCAAACAAGTTCGCTATGACAGCAAACTCGCATAAATTTTTACTAATGTTTGCTGTCACGGCTAACATGTTCGCTGCCACTGCAAGCTTCTTAGCTGTGGTAGTAGCTAATTTTCAGAGAATTCACAGCAAACATCTGTTTACTGCTGCAGCTAATTTATTTTTTCCGTGTAATACACCCCAGATAACTGAAAACTTATTATTTGTTGGTTTTATGGCGGCTTATTGATTATGAATTTCAAGTTAAAAATTCCAAACTTAATGAAACTGGGGTAAAAGTAAACGAAATCACAAAGTTTCACCAACATCGTTTTGTCTTTTAAATCGCAATACCTTGGGTTTTCTTCATCTGGAACAATTTTGTAGAGTGGTAGAAAAAATAGATAAAACTAACTCTTTATATTTACTAGGAATTTTTCAACCATCCTGAAATTTAGGGGTAAATATCATTATGTATTTTTTAAACAGTTTAAGATATATATATAATATATATATATATATAATTTATATTGTTTCCTTTGCAAAATTAGGTAGTAGTTTTTTGAAAGCATTAAAAATTATTAAAATTATTGTAAACAATTATGGCTGAACTCGTTACATTAAAAATATTAATATTACGTATATATATATCAGTGGATTTTTGTATTATAAACATTCAAAATCGTCTAGCAAAACTTATTGGATTTGTTGTCCAAAAGAAGAATGCTCAGCACAGGCAGTAACTATAGAGAAGATGGACAAATCAACGTGTAAAAAAGACGAAATCAATAACGAATCAATAACGTTCGATTATAAAATTACATTTTCCTCCTTAATTTAAATTGTTATTGATATTGTTTGTGTTGGAAAACTTTTCTTTGAAATTTTTTGTTTTCGGAATAAAAGTTCTTAGTAAAAACGGATTTGAAATTAACTTTTTTGTAAATTAAAACTTAGGAACTAATAGTTTTAGAATATAGTAATTCAAGAAAAAAAATATTGACAATTTACAAAGAATGAACTATCTATATATATAATTTTGAAGAATGGAAAGTAAGAGAAACTGAAAGTAATGTTAAGAGGGAGATAGCTTATATATTTTGAGTCGTTGAAGAGTCCATAGACAAGGCGATTACTCACCAAGATCTTTTTCCTTTATCCATCTAATACTGGAGCGCTTCGTTTTGTGGCGTTCCTTCGTCAAAGCCGATAAAATTTAAAAAGCGGACATTTTAGAAACAATACAATTTTAACAACACGATAACACAGTTTCTCCAGGGATATTTATTGAGTTCGGTTAAAAGATAATTAGAGAATCGTAGTAAAAAAATATAAAAATATTTATACGTATATACGTATGAAGTAGAGTGGTTCTTATTTCGCGATATATACAATTTTTTAGGTCACAGACCAGAATTCATTTTAGAATGCGAAAAAAAATGGCACAACTTTTGCAAGGGTCAGACAAAATAAGACTTACTTTTTTCTAAAGAAACAATTAAACTAAAATTAAATGTAAATTAATGAAAACTATAATTCGACCTATATGAAACCATGTAGATTAATAAAAAAAGCAAGATTTTTTACCGAAATTAATAAATTGCGATTATCTTGTAAACTAGAAGCGATAAAATGCAGAGTGTCTATCAAAAATTATATAATTTCCAATAATAATAATTTTATAATATAATATTAATAATAATAAATCATTTTTAAATTCCCGGATTTATTTTTTAAAACATTAATAAGGGGTCGTCCATATACCACGCGAACAATTTATTTTGACGTCCCCTCCCCCCTTCGTAGACAAACGTGAACTTTTGACAACCTATACCTTAAGGCGCGTGTCAAAAGTCGATGCGATTTTCCCATTGAAGTTCAATGTGAAAATGTCCACGTGGACATTTTTTGGTAAGAAAATATTATTTTTGGTAGGACATGAAAACTTATAGCTTTAAAGAAAGTTTTATATTTTAATATGGTTAAGAAATGGATATTTTATAAAAAAGTAAAATAAAATATTTTCGACATGTCAAAAATATTTTACATAGTTTTATGCTATTAAATATAATTTATTTGATAACAAATCTTTTGAAAATTAGTTAAAACATTGGAGCGAAATTTGAAAGCAAGATAAACAAAATATAAGGGATAAAATCAAAGTTTTACTGAGCCCACGTGGACATTTGTGGATTGTTTAAGAACCCCCTTCTCTCAAAACTGTCCACAAGGATATATAAATTCTAGTTATATCCATATCATAATGATTTAAAATACAAATTCGGGAATTGCGTTTAAAAGTAATTAACACTGAAAGTATGCATCTCCTTAACGTTCTTTCTCTAATACAATGCCTTTACTTAACACACAAACTTGTACAACGTTATTTCCATAACTATTAAGATTTTTAGGAGATTTGTTTTACACACAATTGCAATACCTTGCCTGAACAAAAGTTTTTCGGAATTTTCTTTTTCATTTAAATATACAAGTACAGTTTCCTTTCAATTGGTGCTAAAGGATGAAATTTAATGAAATTTATTGCCATATTTGACAACTGTTGGAGAATAAACAAAAGAAATAGAGAATCAGACATTTTGATATTTTGGGAATGGAGGGTGCCAACCAATTGAGAAAGAGACGCGTATAAAAGAGTAGATGGGAAAAGAGAAAGAAATTTGATAGTATAGAGGGGTTCAATGAGGCGGTGATAACTAACAATACTCACCACTATTTTATCAGCGATACCCCACGAAGGCGTGGTTGGCGACGGGGGGAGAAGTTGCCCCTGCTTCTCTATATCAGACTGCTCCTCGAGTGACTGCTGATCCCGTTGCCCATCCATTTTCGGCAACATAGATTTCAATGCTTTTAAATGTCTTCTTTGTTTTAGTACTGGAAAATAACAAGAAACCTATATTATTATAGACGTACTGTTTTCTCTAATAAACTTTTATTTTCAATTTTTCTTCTTTTGCCTTTTTTTATTTGTATAACAAATCAATAACATATAGAAATTTATTTATTAATTTAGTATTAGCATATGGTCTATCAATCTACTTTTAAATCTTTTAACCCATGGTAATGTGTATATGTACTTAGTTGGATAATTAATTATTTATATTATTTTCTACCAGTCGGTTTCTTATATTTACCGCAATTGCCATTTTAATATTTTTAATTAAAGTTAATAGAAAACTTTTAAAATTTGCACTCTAATTTATTTCAAATATAAAATATATGATTCTACAAGAAAGTCATGTCCCTAAAGTTTTGAAGATTCAAATAAACGAACAGAAAAAAGGTGGTTTTGTTTTTGTTGCGAGTTATTTATTTTACATGCTAATCCTCCTTTTTTAAACACGTATTCTATACCTCTTTATTATATTAATGGAAGAAAACGTTTATTTTCAAAAATACTTTAATTAAAAAATTTATCTTTAATTATATTTTTAAATACGGTATAACAAAGAGTTTTAGTTGTTCAAGCGTTTTCTTAAAATGTGGAAAAATTTATATGAATTTAATAATTTATTTTTATTTATTTATTTACATATAGACGGGTAGAAAAACCCTTTCATACAAAAGTACTAGAATAATGCTTAGAAAGAAAAATAAAAATTAAAAACGAAGCAATAACAATCAAACGTAATTAGCAAAAAAGAAAAATAATAATAACAATATTAATAAACTTTATTTGCTTTGAAATGGCAAAAAAAATGTTGAAATGTCTCTTGCTGAGTAAAAATAATATTAACATATTTATAATATAATAATTTATTACTATTTATAATTTTTTATGAAATAAGGGTGTATAGGTACTTAGTTAAATTTATGAGTCACGTTACATAAATTTATTAAGTCAATACAGTGAGTCAGAAAACAATCTTATTACAGCAGTAAATTTTAGTGAAAAAAGAGGTTTACTCTGTGGTCAGTTCGGAAAAAGGGGTTCGCAAATACAAACGAACCTCAAGCCAACAAACTGAAATTGTAAAATTTTGCTTGCCGGAGTGGTCACCACATTTTGGGAAACTACACGTGCCCCTGCTGACAAGGTACAGTTGATTTATTCAAGTGGATCATTTCTAGCCTGGACACCGGAAAGTCAGGATTTAGCTATTCAAAGTAGCTGGCAAATCTCATTGTCCTTCATGTCCGAGAGTCCTCATAACCATAAATAACTCACTTGGGCCACTGTCTTCCCAGGGAAATAACGCTAGGGGTAACCGTGGAAAATAAACAACCCTTAATACAATTTGCAAAAAGAACTAAGCACAACATTTCTTAAAATCATAACTTTTTCTTTTCTTTATCTCGAACGTGCTGCACTTTCCAAAGTAATATTTTCTTTTCAAAACAATTTAGGCAATAAAAATGACATAAATACGTAAATTAGTTTGATTTATTGACTAAACATTTATTTTTAAGAATTTATAATTGTCATAAATTTTAAACAGTTCAATTTTTTTCTAAAACATTCAGATTGAACAATAATTTCAAAAAAATCTTTCTGTAATAGCGTCAAAAACTATTATATGGGGATTTCTTTCATTCACCTATAAGGAGTTAAAAACATGTTCAGGGCAATAATTATATAACTAAGTACTGCTTTGATTTAAAAATATTTTATTTTCATAATATATTTAATTAAAAAGTAAATTCTGTTTTAGTTTAAATAGAAAACATAATGAAATTTTTTTTTTGTTTAATTCAAATATAAAAGCCATAATTAATGTTTGAATTAAATATATTGCTTCTTTAGATGAACCAAAATATATATATGTGTCAATTATGAACTTAAATATGTTTGACTGTATAGCAATGTTATTCTGAGTTTGATTCAAATAAATGTTTTTCTCAGTGTTGTTTTAAGTAATAACTCTATAGAAGTATACTAAAACTGTTAAATTTAGGAGAATTATTTTGCTTTCGTAAAGAAATAAGAAAATATAATTTAACTAATTTGGTCCTTTTTTATTTTAATTTAAATTAGCAAAAGTCAATGTTCTTTCTGTTATTACTATTATTATTTAACTACTTTTTGATAAAAAAACAAATAAAGAAATACACTTTTGACTAAAAAGAAAAGGAAAAATAAATTGAGTTTATTCTAAACAGTTTAGAACCGAAGGTATATGTGTTTCAATGTTTTCATTATTTAGATGCTTTGTGAGGCCATTCAGATTCTTGGAAGGTGAAAGAAAAAGCACAAAAATAAAAACAATGAGCAAGTCAAAGTTTTACTTGTTTCTAGAAAATGACCTCCTATTCAGTATTAAATTAAAATTTAAAAATATTTCTATATCTTTAGTATATGAAAAACAGTTTACAAGAGTATAGAAAATTAATACAAGAACATTGACTAATTTTTGAAGGCACATCATTTTGTATATTAGTTTAATAAGAAAAGGAAAAAAACAACAAATAATACAATTACGAGGTAGAAATTAAAATTATTCAAATCAAGTTCATTATTGGAAAATTTATGTAATGAAAGTAAAAATATAATGTAATGTTTTAAAAGATATTTCTGTGTAAAATGCGCAGTAAATATCTCTAAAAATCTGTTTTTACGGTGATTAACAATCTGTATTATTTAATTGTTTTCAAACAAACCTGGTAAAGAATTTCTGGGCTTTTTTGCAATTCTTCAAATTAAACACTTATCAGTCCAAAGATGAAGGAGATTTTTATGAAGAACAATAACTGATACTTTTTCACATAATAATTACAATAAAATGTAATGTCACTCACGGCACAAAACTTTGTTCACTCATAAACCGTTTATCAGAAGAAATAGTGAAACTATTGGAAAATGTTTCCGCGCTTCCAAACCGAATACAGTATCAGAGTTCCGGTAACAAACTGACTACTCACTACTGCCAGCAAAAACCATGAGGCCAGCTTTTGGAGAAGTGTGAAGTAGAATTGCGGCTTATTGGGTATTTACAGAAGGGGCTGCACTACTCAGCTACTCCATCCCTACCACCTTCGGGCAGCCCAATCAGCGCTACTCAATTTGCAGGCTCTTCGCCGGCCTATCTTCCCCACTACCCTTTCATTCGCATTTTCTGCCTTATGCATTACCATAATATTGTATTTCCCTTGTGTTTCCTTGTTTTCCGGAATACCCAAACATACCTGGAGGACCTCTCTTCAGTAGGGTTTTTTTATGTGAGTGCCGACTTTCCTGACACACACCTCCTCAGATAAAACAATAAATTTCTGACAACGACATTCGAATTCATAATTCCATTTCAGTTCATTACCGTAATTCATTCAGGAACAAAATCCAAGATTAATTTTTCCTAACACTGCGACTAAAAACTGATATTTCTTATGATTTAGGTATTCCTGTAAATATATAGGCAAATCTCTTCAGAGCCTTTAAGCTTTGACTATAAATTTTTAAAAATTCTATGTAGACATTTTATATTTATGGCCACAATAGACCTTCGACAGAAACAAATGTATATGAAAAGTAAAATAAGTATATTAAAAATGTGAAGTAAAACTTACCCATAATTATTTAAATTGCAATTAAATATATATTTTAAATTAGTTTTTCAAAAATTGCCTAAATTGATTCACACGAAAATTTAATTTAAATGTTTAAGCAAGTTTCACGCTAAACATTTATTTAATCGGGATAGTTAAATCTATTTACACAATTTTCACTAAAATTTATAAAATTGCTTAGCGCCGTAATTAAAACATATTAGGTGCGGTTGTTACGCTGTGCAGTTGTTACAAATGGAATATCTCAGAAACAGTGAATTATAGAGATGGGGTTCCAAAGAGAAAAATGTTTAGTTTTTATGTACGAACTTACTGCAATATGTTTAAAAATTATATCCAAGCTTTACAAGTAAAAAAACAGGCACATTGGTTTTTAAAGGCCAAAAGTAAATATTTCTCTTCCTGATATATTTTAAATAATTAATAGACCTTTATACTTAACGAAGTAAATTTTTTTATATCAATTCTATGAGCTTTAAAAAACTGCCTTGGTTGTCCACATTTAGTGTATACTTTTTTAATAAAGTGTTTTATTGTAGAAAATGTACCTGTTGTGCAGTTGTTACAAGTGATAATGAGAACCGATATTTTTTCCAAAATTCAGCAGATTCGTTTGAAATGTAAAATATTTGTCAAAAATGTAATCACACTCATTTTTTATGAAAAATCTCATGGTTTTTATAAATTCGTCTTCAAAATTAATGAAAAAAAAACTTTTTTAAGTTTCTTCCATTTCGAAACAATATTAATGCTGTCATCTCTATGGAACTGTCACGTACTATTACGTTGAGCCAAAAATTATCAATAATTAATAAAAATGGTTATAAAAAATTATTTGTCTTCAATTTAGAAATGTTATTGATGATTCTTGGTATTGTAACAACCGACATTCACTTTGTACAGTTGTTACAATTTACACGCTGTCACTCAAATGCTTCTAGTTACAGTGGAACCTCGATTATCCGAACCTCTGTTATCCGAAACCTCTATTATCCGAACCGAAAATCATTTTATCCGAATTTCTATTATCCGAACTTTTTTTTGGCTATCCGAATTTTAAAATTTATTTTCTCTATTTATTTTATTACTTATGTTTGTTTATGCCAAAAAAGTCTTAAAAAAATCATATATTGTGTTTTATTAATATATTATTATAAATTAATATATATACTTATATATCTTTGAAAAATGTATTAAATTAAATATGTACATATAGTTCAACTGTCCAATTTTTTTACTTTAATTATGAAAAACATTAAAACCTCTATTATCCGAATTTTCGATTATCCGAATCAGGCCGTGCCTAGGTTAGTTCGGATAATCGAGGTTCCACTGTAATTAAATAATAGATATACATATAGAGCTAAATCAATTATGGCCTTTTAAAACTATATAGATAATATACCTTTGATTTAATCGTTTGACCAAACAAATTGGAGTTAAACTCTAATCACAGTAACTGTTTTTATCAAAATTGTAACAACTGCAGACTGCACCTAGTCTTCCCTACGACCGAAACTGACCCTTTTATTTTAATAAACTTTCAAGTTTAATTCTCAAAAATTCTACATTTCAAAATCAAAAAGATTTCCTCTTCAGAGAGTTTATAAAATATTCAGGGTTCACGGAAACCTGGAAATGTCAGGGAATTTTATAAACCTTGCAAAAACCTAGAATAGTCAGGGAATTTTGATCGAAATCCTAGAAAATTTTTGTTTCTAAAGATATTGTGTTTATTCTTGAAATCTAATTTCACTTACATATATTTCAAAATTAATTCAATTTTAAAAGAATTGCGTTTACAATTTTCATAAGTAGATAAACTTTCAAAGATTTTGATTTAAAATTTTGTAAAATTTCAATTTTAAATTAATTTAATTAGAAATATAGAAAAACTTAGATTTAAAAAAATTTTTAAAACTAAAATTCTTCTGAAATTAGTTAAATTTTTTAATATACCTATATATTTAACTAGTTTTATTAAAAATATTGAAAATATTTAATTATGAATTTACTATAGTAAAATTCTTCTCAGAAATTCAATTATTTTCAAAAATTTTAATAAATTCTTGGCATAATTTTAATTATTTTCAAAAACTTTCCTCAATTCAATGATTTTTAATATCTACTACTTTAATAAAATTTTAATATAATTTTATGCAAACATTTAATGATTTTCATAAATAATAAAAATTTCACAGGAATTCAATTATTTACAAATTATTTTCATATATTATTCAATTATTTTCATGAATAATAACATTTTTTACAGGGATTCAATTATTTTCATAAATAATAAAACTCAATGCTGAATTTCAATTATTTTTGATACAATTTTAATGGATTTCCTAGAAGAAAGTAATTATTCTTAAAAATATTTTTATAAAAATTTATCAAAGAAATTTAATTATTTTAATAACCTTTACTACAATTTATTTATTAGAAATTTAAGTATTATTTTCAATAAATTTTTAATTACATTTAACTTTAAAGATTAAAATTTTTTTCAAAAATTATAATGCAATTCTTTGCGTAACAACCCAGTAAAAAAAATTCGATACACGGACCGCGGAGTTCGTATACGAGCTCGGTAGCTCGTATGAGAAATATGAGAAAACTCTCATACGAGCCTTTTCCGTAATGAGAAGTGTATAGATGCTTGTATACGAGGTGACTTTTAAAGCATTTTTCTTAATATAACACTATTTTAAAGTAAATGTAGATAATAGAAATGAATTTTTAAAGTAAAACAAAGCTAAATTTATAAAGGAAATTAAGTTTTAAGAAAAAAAGGATAATTTTGTTCAAAAAATTTATTCACACTGAAAAAAGGTTAGAATTTGATAATTCCTTGTTACTCTAACTTACCGACATTAGATATTTCTCGGATGCGGTAAGCACGATTTTGTATTGGCGGTAGAATTAATAAGTTTTTTTCATTACTAATTAATAATATATTATTATTTATTTATTATATAAATGTTCTTATATAAAATAATTAAATTTAATACAAAATCTGCTTACCGTATACGAGAAATATCTAATGTCGGTTAGTTAGAGTAACAAGGAATTATCAAATTCTAACCTGTTTTCAGTGTGAATAAATTTTTTGAATAAAATTATCCTTTTTTTCTTAAAACTTCATTTCCCTTATAAATTTAGCTTTGTTTTACTTTGAAAATTCTTTTCTATTATCTACATTTACTTTAAAATAGTGTTATATTAAGAAAAATGCTTTAAAAGTCACCTCGTATACAAGCATCTAAGTATTTCTCATACGAGCTACCGAGCTCGTATACGAACTCCGCGGTCCGTGTATCGAATTTTTTTTACTGGGAATTCAATTTTTTTCAAAATAATTTTAATAAAATTCTTCGCTGAAATCCATATTTATGTTTAAAAATTTACAAAAATTCTCGTTTTGATTTTGTTGATAAAATTCTTTATGAAAATTCAATTCAATTCAATTTTAAAAAACATTCAATTGTTTAATAAAATATTTATTTTTATAGCTAAATAATTGAATTCTCGTAGAATTTTCTAATAAATATTGATTTAAAAATGAATTTTAAATTAAAATCTTTGAAAATTTGAACTTTTCATACTTTTAATTAAAAATTAATCGAAATTTCGTAAAATTAAATTGTAAAAAATGGATTTGAAAATTTCCAAAGAACTTTTTCAAAAATTATTTTAAAAAAATTGACTTTTTAGTTGAAAATTCTAGAAATGGATAATCGAAATAATGTAAATAATTTTTGAAAAAGTTATAGTAACAAAGTAGCAAGTTTTAATTATTATAAAACACGAAGAAAGCGATAACTTCGAGTCGAAGACTCGGAGTGATCAATATCATAGTGATCATGTTTTCTAATAAATATTCTTATATGTTATTGAATTTCAAATTTTTGAATATCTTAATTTCTATAAAAAAAATAATGATTAAATATTTATTTAAAAATGAAGTTATTGATGTTTTCGAATAATTTTCGTTTTAAAAACCTGAAAAAATTCCGTTTTTAACCTGGAAAACCTGGAAAAGTCAGGGAATTTGAAAAGAGCAAAAGCGTGGCAACCCTGATATTATGTAATTTTAAATGGATTATATGTAATTATTTTATTATGTTTATTAATTTGATTTAGTTTATTTTTAATTGAATTGCATTGAATTATTTAATTTATCAATATTTACTGATTAGAATTTCATTTAATAATTTAAATTAGGTAAATGTAGTAAACGGAATATCTATATTTTTCACCAAAAACGCAACTTTTTTTTCGTTAAACGGTGAAACTGACGGAACTTTTTTGCAAGAACTTGTTAATTGATTATATTCCTTAGAAAAATAATTGTATGGCGTACAATAAAATACCAATGAGCCTGAAACGCATACACACACTAAAAAAAATGTTTT